AATTCTGGATATGCGTTCGCACATCGCGAGCATTAATAAACTGGAAAATTGTACAGCCGGCCGCGACGTCGTGTGTTTACTTTTTATGCTAGTCTAGTTGAAACTGTTAAATCAAAATAAACCCCAATAATTCTTTAATATCCATAACGTTAAAAAACACTGACGGTGTTGTGTTATATATAGGAACCTTAAGGTAAGTTTATTTCTGAATCTTGTGATTTTAGTTTTTAATTTCCGCGTAGATATAGAAAAAAAAGTTGAGATTCTTCTAACCTACAAAAATATATACCTAAAATAATTATGTGCGTCGAAAAACCTTGTTCCTAACCTAACCTCTCTTCCCCCCACTGCTGCCCCGGGCGGCACTTTTTCTAGTTACGCCGCTGATCATAGTAGAGAATATTGAAGTGTTTGCGCGAATGCAGCAGGCCATACTTTACTGCGATTCAGAAAATATTGGCTATGCGATCGTATGTGCCGCACGCATAAAGTAATAAGCCAGAGTTATAAAGAATAAAAAATATAACTTTAAATTATTATATCAAGTATAATCTATGTATATTTATTTGGTGTCTATTAAAGAAAACAACACAATACAAAATATAATATAATATAATATAATATAATATAATATAATATAATATAATATAATATAATATAATATAATATAATATAATATAATATAATATAATATAATATAATATAATATAATATAATATAATATAATATAATATAATATAATATAATATAATATAATATAATATAATATAATATAATATAATATAATATAATATAATATAATATAATATAATATAATATAATATAATATAATATAATATAATATAATATAATATAATATAACATAATATAATATAATATGATACAATACAATAAAATAAAATTTCTTATTTATGTATATTTTATGTTTGTTTTTGCAAAATTAATAGTTTTATGTAAAAGTACAAAAAAAGCCTATGAACTATTTCAAATATTATTTAAATCCGTTGTGGTACGTTTATATCTGATACTTGCAAAATTTTTGGGTAAAACGATCTTTTTGTTAATAAGTTTGAAATGATTTTTTTTCCTTTGGGTTAATGTATATTTATTATTAAAACTGCAGAGAGTACCTAGTTTGTTTTTATTAATATTTATTAATATAAATAAATTCCAATTTTATTGATAAGGCGTGCAGCTAGCGTATTTGTAGGTAAGCTATCCAACTACAATTCAAATTAGAATACTATTTTCTGAATCGTAGTAAAGTATGGCCTGCTGCGGTCGCGCATACCCTACACCATTCTCTACTATGATTCAGAACATCACAAACTGGGAGATGTGCTGAATCGTAGTAAGGATTGTATTGTACTTAGTGGCGTTTAATTTTGTCAATCCTTACTGCGATTCAGAACACTATGGCTCTGTATCGTAGTACACAATGCCAATACGCTGCCGGTTCCCGATATACATATATGTATATATATATATATATATATATATATATATATATATATATATATATATATATACATATATGTATATCGGGAACCGGCAGCGTATTGGCATTGTGTACTACGATACAGAGCATACATATATATATATATATATGTATGCTTTTCTTTGTGGTTGAAATTGTGTTTCGTTTTTTTCTTTTTTAACAATTATCGTGCTGATATTGTTCCCAGTCCTACCCCTAACCCTTTTGGGAGTGGTCGTTTAAGTACGCCTCTGTATTGTGTTCATTTACCATCGGGTGTTGTTCTTACTTTCTCCACTCTCTTAGAATAAATCACTCAAAAATGACTCGTTATAGGTTATTTGCTGTGTTGGCAAAAATTTAGTTTGATTGACGATTTAAAACTAAAACTAAAGTGATTAATTTAACTAACGATTGACGATTGAATTAGTTTTAGTCATGTAAAAGATTGAAATAATCGATTGAATTAGTTTTAGTTTTGAATCTTTTAATTTCAATTTTGATTGAAAAAGTAATGTCGGGGAAAACGCAAAGTAAACGATTAATTAAATTATACAAATGGTTTATAAATTTATAAGTCATACATAGTGTGCAAAAAAACAAATACTATACAGGGTGTCCCAGAATATGTGGGCAATCTCCCAGATTTAGATATAATAACACATAAAAATAATATGACAAGTTCCTATACATTTTTTTCCTACGGCCCCCCTACGAAGATAACGGACGCCCCTGGAAAGAAAATAAAAGGATCCAAAATTTCAAAACACTCTATTTTCAAGTGACACTGATATCATTTAAATTTTTAAGTCGGAAATGTAAAAAAAAACTTTTCAAAAAAAAATAAAAATAAATGTAAAAAACCCTATTGTACAAAAACTTTTTCGTATGTACTGTACATTTTATCGATGTCGATCAGGATTACCTTTTTTTACTTAAATGTTTAAGCTGACTAATATAAATAAAATATTATTGTTGTGCCTTTATAGTACAGGGTGTTAAAAAATAGCATTACTCTGTTAGAGCTAGTCCGTCCCTGGCAAACTAAATAAGCCAAATGTAATTAAAAAAGTCCATTTTAAGGAAACTTTCCTAGTAAACAATATATTTAAAAATTATTCAATTCCACCTTGTAGTTTAAAAGTTATTTAAAAAAAAAACGATTTCCAGGGGTGTCCGTTATGGGACCGTATCTCCGTGGAGGGGAGCGTAAGAAAAAAAATATGAGATTATATTATTTTTATGTGTTCTATTTGAATCCGGGAGATTACCCACATATTCTGGGACACCCTGTATATTTATATAAATAATATTTTATTTACTTATGCTATTTTTTATTTATTAACATATAATTAAACAGATAATTTTCCTTGGTAAGGCGTTATAATATATGTAATGTTTCCGATTAATTATATTTAAATTATTTTTCTCGTCATTTCTTAAAAATCTCATCGGATAGTTTGTGTGATTTTGTTGCATTCAACTTTACAAAGACAGTTTTCAAGAGGGTATCGATGCGACGTAAATCGTCTTTAATATGATGGTTAGGTTGGGTGTTAGGTTTGGTTTGATTTTTTTCGTCCGAATTTAACATTTTATTGCTTCCTGTCAGTTGTCACTTAATAATTTTTTATAACCTCACTTACAAATACGGAAAATAAGTTTTTAATTAAAAATTTCAATCAAACTAAAACTATTAACTAATGATTACTTTATGTTAGTTGCGACTAAAACTAAATTTTTAATCGTGATTGATCTAGTCATAACTAAAATAATCACTAATTTTTTAGTTTGATTCGTCAATCGATTGAAAATATTAGTGACTAAGCCCAACTCTGGTTATTTGACTCATTGTCCCAGCGGAAAGACAGTCGCTAATGATTAGACAAATTTACCGAATGCAACAGTCAATAGTGGATTTGGTTTAAAAAGTTTTTTTTAGGGTAGTTTTTGTTTACTCACTGAAGCTATCGTTGGTGACTTATTTTAGTTTGTATAATTTAACTATTTAAGTAGTATAATAGCTATTTATTGAAAACGACTATTCGTTGTTTTCGTGTTGTGGTAGAAATCGTGTTTACGTTTTCTTTTCTTATTTAACAATTAAGAAATTGCATTTATATTTTTTATACTGCTTCTAACATTTTTTTATTTTTAAACTCGAGAAGGTCTCGTAGTTCGTTTATTTAAGGCCAAGATTAGAAAATGGTTTGCTTACTTACTTATTAAATACTACTTGTCACGTCTTATACGACGAAGAGTACCCAATTTTTATTCGAACCTGCTTTACTTTTAAGTCGAACTAGCCTATGCATTCGGTATCTTTGGTCTATTTAATGTAAAACAATAAATTAATAAATTGATTTAAGTATTTAATAACATATCTACCAACGTCTGACAACATACTTCCAGAGTATAGTACAAGAAGGTGGCCGTCACCTATAGGCCTATAGGCGATTTTGTTCTTAGCATTTGTTACCTGTGATAAATCAAGTTAAATAAAATTTGTTGTGATCAAACCACTTCGAAATTATTTTTTTTAAATCTCTAGTGGCAAGTGAATATTTTATTTATATTTCTTATTAATGCATAATTTTAAAAACATACTTTTTTTTCAAGCGTACATAAAAAAATCTACGATAGGTTATGTAATTAAAATGTATGATAATTCAATTTTTTGGAAATCAAAGAAACAGAATAGTGTAAGTAACAAAGTCTTCTACATCAGCTGAATACGTAGCTCTATTTGAATGTGTAAACGAATTAAAAATTGTAAAAAATATACTGTCAGACTTTGATCTTAAAGTTTCTGCGCCCATAAAAATATATGAAGATAATTCCGGAGCAATTATCGTAGCCAAACATGGCAATTTTACAAAAAAACTCAAAATATATTAAAACTCATTATCATTTGGTAAATGAAAATACATTAACAAAATGATTGATGCTGTCAAAGTCAACTAAGAATAAAATATTGCAAATATTTACTAAATCTCTAGGTACAGTTAAATTTAAGAAATTTAGGCAAGCATCATGTATATTGTAAAATATTTATTATTAATGTTAAAGTTGTAATACAAATTTAAGGGAGGCGTGTTAAGTTGGTAGTAAATTTGTATTGTGGAGATCAAGTGTGTGAAAGAATAATTGTAGAGAGATGTCAGTTGTATTAATTCTGTTCTGTTAAAATATATTTACTATTTATGAAATCGTTTATTTATCTTCGCACGATCCCGTCGTTAATTGGTAGTAAACAAATTGTTATAAATAGCATGGATAAATAAACTATATTTTATTTTATTTTAATACCTTTGGTGGGTTTTATTTTCTTTTTCACCGGGATCAATTTTTGCCTTTTGCATTTTTTGATAGAATTTTATAAAATACCAATAACAGTTACTGATGTTGTATTTCAAATAATAATTATTAAAAATAAAATTATTTAATTTGTAAGTATATATTTTAACATCAATTCGCTTTAGTTTGTTATAACAATGATATACAAAACAATACATTTTGTGCTGCACCACTCACATTAAATTTTCTTTTATAATTTTCGTCTTTCACTATATGAAAAAATAAATTACATTGTATAGGCGTATTAAATTCAAAGTCCAAACTTAAAATGTCTTTTTAAAAGAAGCCGGCTTATTTGCTACCCTTTGATTGCTATAACAACATTAATACAATTTTTACATATAATACACTTAGCACAACGAATATTAATTAAAGTATAGTCCAAAATTATTTATTTGGCTGAGAGTTCGAATCAGGCGTGCTGTACATCATATTTTGGGTGGTATGATGAGAATGTTGAATTGAAAGGGGTATGGGTATAGAGGCAGGTACTATAACTGATTGTGGACCCGCCACTGCCGTCGGAATCCCAGGTACTGAAGTCGTCGTACTGCTTACCGCTCCACTATTATTTGTGTGATACAAAATTGGAACCTAAAATTAGAATCTAATTAGTTTTTTTTAAGTACAACTTCTTTGTCACGGTAGGGCAAAAATATTTTAAGCGACTTGCTATGTAAGGAAACTGGTATGCAACGAAACGCTGCATCCCCTCTACTTCCACGAAGTCAAGCTAGTAGGGGGATCGCCTGAGCCGTGAACTCGCTTCAAATCAGCGCAAGGGTGTGATTTTTAGTACAATTGTACTTTTCTAGTACAAAAAATAGCTTCTAGTTCGTCAGCACCTCTTTGACAATTCTAGTACAATTTTCAAAATTGCCTGCAATTAGAAAAAATAAATAGGGAAAGTACTTTCTCTGTGGCTTTGACGCCTATTTTTTTGTACTAGAAAAGTACAATTGTACTAAAAATCACACCCCTGCGCTCATTTGAAGCGAGTTCACGGCTCAGGCGATCTCCCTACTAGCTCGACTTCGTGGAAGTAGAGGGGATGCAGCGTCAAAACTATGGAGCCTACACAAGGAGTCCGAACTTAATAGGGGAATTGACAAAACCTGCCCTCTAAATCCCTCTAAGTCTTTTTTTTTCACCACCAGCGGCGCTGATTGTCGATGCGTACTGAACGGAACACCAGCGCCCTCTTATCTTAGGAAGATTCTTGTTTACATGAAGTTCTGACTCCTTGTGTAGGCTCCATGGTTAAAACTCAAACGTCAAGTCATGGAGCCTACACAAGGAGTCCAAACTTTATGTAAACAAGAATCTTTCTAAGATAAGAGGGCGCTGGTGTTTCGTTTGTTCTGAAACAATTGACTAATTTGTAATCTAGTAGGTTCGCGATCAAGGAGCACAGACTCTTTTGTTTATGAATTGCTTTTGATCTTAGAGCTCTGTCGCCCAATTTTTTTTATCTTACAACTTTGTCGGCCAATCTCCAGATAAAAACATATTTCCATCTGGTTATCGATCTTTATGGGTCCTGACGAGTAGGCCCAATCGCCATTTTTATTATCCCTGGTTACCTCTTGATTATTTCTATTTCTATTTTCTACTATCCTAGCCAGTTCACCATGACTCCACTAGTCCAATTTCGGGAAAATATACTTATTTCTTTAGGTTAATAATTATAATTGAAGGATCCAGTGCAAGAACCAGGTATCTCCAAACAATAAAATTTCAAAGGGGGTAAGAAAAATGTTCCTTTAAAGTTACCTTTGGTTAAATAATGATTTTATAAATTTTATATTCCTCTTAATATCTTATCTCTTATTCCTGGCTTAATCAACTAAATCTATGCCGAGTGAAATTTTGTTCAAACCTATTAGGTTAATTTATATTGTTGTTGTGTCTTTAGTCAGTGACGATGTTTTGATATTTGTGGTAAAAAATGTGTTTAGTGTTTACTATATGTGTTCACAGCAAACGGAAAATTATAGAGGTGTATAGGATGACGCCACGTTTGAATATCGTTTTCTAAATCTCCCTACGGTATAGAGTTGTATTCGTCAGTCGAGCGTTTCAATACTCTCCACAGTATAGAGGTCGTAATTTCACTTTTGAACTAGTATTAATATAAAAATTATTTTATGAAAAAAAAAACTATATACGACATGATTGTGATTTTTTTCATTTTATTAATTAATTAAGCTGTGTTGAATATTTTTCCTAAAGGAATAATTGCCAATGGGCCATTAATTCATTTGTTCGTAGATGCTACAATAACCTGCACTGGTGTGTACTTTTTCATCAACCAGATTTAAATATTACAAAACTAACATATACCAGTGGAGATAGTGCAGGGTCTACCAACAGACCTAATTACTAAATTATTAAAGTTTAATAGCATATCGATCATTTTTTCAACATAACCTCTGAAATTTTTAATACAAATATAGGTACTTTATATAATACATAAATATACTTAACATCATATCCTCTGTCCTTTACATACCTAAGTTGTTACGGTAAATAAAAATCAGACAAAGGAACCAAAGAAAGGAACTATTTTCAACAAAATCATATGCAGAAATGAGAAAATTCAAACTACTTGCATCCATCAAAAGATCAAAACTTCTTGCAATATTACACCCTCTTTTTATACTCTCAGAAATATTGACTAGAACAGTATTAGAGAGACTTCAGTTTCTATAACTTGGTAGAGTAAAGAGAAGTCGAAACCGTTGCGATATTGCATTGCGCTGTTTTTGTATAATTCAGGACTGAACCCTTTTTTAATAATTTCTAGAGGCATAAATGACTGCACCATTCGACAGGGTCGAGTTTCTACTCCTCTGTTGAATATAGAAAATCAAAATAATGTATCTTGTAAGACACCATTGAGTTTGACTTTAAATATAGTCGTGCATAGGTACACTCAAAAAAATATTTAGTAAATTTACACATCTGATCGTTGGTTATTTTGATGCCACGTATTTAAATGTATATGTACAAACATACTGTAAAACTACATATAATGTGTAAAAATGCAAAGGTCATGTAAATGTAAAATTTAGGAAAATAATAGTACAAGTACATTAAAAATTGTAAAAGCACATAAATTTAAGGATTTATTACATAATAATATGAAAAACTACATATTAATTTAAAAAAATACATAAATTGATGCTATTTTACTTATGTAAGTATGTGTGTACATGTTTTATATGGAACAACACATTTCTTAAGTAAAAAAACAGAAATAAATGTGTGTTTGGATGTGTAAAATTTCGTAAATTTTTTTCAGTGTATAGAGCCGAAAAATATAAAAACAAAGCACGATTCAATACAGTTATGATAAAACTTTAAGATTTTATATTCAAACGCGGAGTCATCCTATACACTTCTATAATTTTTCGTTTGCTGTGGTTTCAGTAGACAACCGCGTTTAGTTAAACAAAATAGTTGTGTGTATTTCGCTCTACGTTTATAAAAAGTTGAAATTTAAACATTACAGTTAAGCATTAAAATGCATAGTTACCATATTGTATTTACACCAGCTAGATCACCATACCTATCTTATTTAAAGTGTCGCTCTTGAAATTGCAATAATAAACTAGATGATTTTTTTTTCAATTCGAGGTTATGCCGGTAATGGAAGGCAATATGGTTTTTCTTAAACCATCGCAGTTTGTATTATATATTCGAAATATCTTTAGCAGTGTTCAATGATGACCAAGAAAAAATTCTTGCTGATCATGTTTGTAAAATTTCAAATAGGTATATATTACGGTCTAACGAAAAATCAGCTAAAATATGTAAAGTTTGGTATTGCAAAAAGGTTTAATGACGCCAAATAGCAGGTAAAAATTGTTTTTTTGAAGCGAAATTGCAAAATCGTCTTGTGAAACTTAAATTTGCTATGATGAATCTGAATACTATTTGTTTAGACACAGGCAAAGGAAGTGAATTATGGTATCGTAGCAAAAGTGGTCGCATGCAGAATGTTCTAAGTATGAGTATAAGAGTTCTAAGTATGAGTATAAGAGTTGTATAACTGGCCCCATTGCCTCATCACTCCCGAGACCCGCACAAGTCTCCGTTAACCTACACAGATTTTTTTTTCGCCACCAGCAACTGCACGGCTTCACCCGTGTTTTGTCCAGTACTGTATCATATTTGGGTCTCGAGAGCGACATGCCGGGTTAAGCCGGGCTGTTGCTATACGCCCAGTAGTATCATAAAGGAGGTAGGGCGGGGGAATAGACCTTTTGGCGTTTAGGGGACAATTACTCCGACTTAAATCTGTGTACGACGTGGGCATTAGTTGCTCTCAACTGTCTCTGTTTATTTGTGCGAAGTGCAATTTCTGTGCTAACGTGTCATGAACCCTTCACTTTATAAGAAGGTCTAGTTTTAGAGTGACTTCCGGTGCCTAGGAGTGGCGTGTGCTCTGTATTTAGATGAGTCACTTTTACCCGTTTGGTTAAGTTTTTTCCTGTAGCAAATCTCGCGGGGTTGGTGTTAATAGTCTACTAACTTCAAAGGTTTAGTCAATTTAACAAGTCGTTTTTTCACTAGGCTAAAAAATTTAAAAACAGATACATACGTTCCTTTGCCCCACTGTGCGAACCCCGTTAAATTTCAACAAAACATAATTTGCCCTTTATACAGGTGTAAGTGCGCTTTCGTTTCTCCGTCCCCGTCGAGTTGGTCAAAATAAGCAGCTCAAGAAAGATTCAACCACTCCTACCAAGTATTGCATTCAGAGAGAAGATTCAGCCCTTCAACAAGTTATTTTTTTGTTGACCCAAAAATAATTATACAGATATATTCAATTATTTCGTCCACTGTGCGAAGTCCATTAATTAACTCGTGCGAAATCCATTGAATTATAAATAAAACCAAAATTTGCCCTATATAAAGGTGGAAAAGGATGAAGAAAACCTGAAAATAATTATAGAACAGATTTAATTATTTTGGCCCACTGTAATTAACTCATCAACACGTCAAAATATGCTCTTAATACAAGTGGGTGTTTGCTTTTTTATGCATGGGTAACTGTTTTTTTAGTTTGTTTACCTTCCTTTATTTCCACTTTTCCCTGTAATGTGTCCTTTTGATCACAAATACAATTTAAAAATGCAAGGTTGTTATTAATTGCTAATTTTTGTGCGGATTTAACTCTGGTACTTATCTTTTATCTGCAGTCCTTATGGCGCTTAAGTCTTGTGTTTTGTCTCCTTTAAATTCATGTACGTTTTTTTTTTCGCACAGTATCACTTATTGAAATGCTTGATATTAAACCCGAGCGATGTTTTTTGTTTTGTTTCCATAATGTCTCGTATTGCATACGGTTTTTTTAAGAAAGCTGGCATGACTTATCATAGTGCGATCTCAGACGCTACTGCTAGTCTAGTTTCTTATAAATGTGCATTTTATTTTTTTAAGATGTCTGTTTCTGTTTTATTAATTAAACATGAAATATTCTTAATATTAGTAAAAAATATTTATTTTTAATTAATTGCCTAGGCACATAATAAAACCTAAGATTAGACTTTTGTCAGACTGACTACAATTAATAGCTCTGACATATGCAACACTTAATGGCTCCCATTTCCCAAAGTTTGGGCTAATGGGAGCGAATGGTATTTCTTAGATTTTTGTTTATTTTTTCAACCAAAGATTATTTAGTTTAATGATTTTTTAGTATTTTTTTGGTAGCCAGATAAGTAAAGCTTCGTAATTAATAAAAAACTAAACTTATGAGTTTTATTAACAATTTATCCTAGCAGGCTATATTTCCCGCACGTACCCCTATCTTCGAAACCCGAGGGCGTTGAGTGATGACTCTTAGAATTTTGATTTGCCGTCGTCCAAAGTTCATATATCGGGTGCTTTATATAGCAGCACTTGGCTTGCAATGGAATGGAATGGAATCGGGTATATTACCATCATTGCTCCGTATGCTTGAAGCTGGCGATCGAAATTTAGGCGTCCATCAAGGTAAAAACCTAAATATTATTGACATCGCGTTCTGCAACAGTTCGTCAATGTATCTGTACCCCTTTAAAGATGGATGTATAGGTGAAAGTTAACTAGCTCTGATTTCGTTAAATTCACCACACGCCATCCATCCCAGTAGAGTTTATGTAAATTAAGATCAATCTTTACTTTTTCGTTAGCTACCGATGATACGAAAGAGCATTAATAGAAAGATAGGGAGAGCCAGTTTACTTTTTTCGAGTCGTGGTAGATTGTACATGTACAGTTTCGAAGCGAATACTGCTTTATGGAATACCAGCTTTTGAAGTGAATGCTTCTGAGCAGGTTCCTTGTACCCTTACTCAGAAATATTGATCGCGCTAGTAGGAGTTTGGTTAAGTTAGGCGGTGGACCCAAAATAAGGACCTTGTGGATAAGACGGTCCGGAAAGTATTCTTTATGTCAAGCTGTAGGATAACCGTAGACGTCGGTTATACGCCGCTTGATATCATGGACAATTATATACACTTGGCGAACGGTGCTATGTCCGGACTGTCTTATTTACATATCCTTATTTCGGGTCCACCGCCTCACCAAACAGCTTAACTACATTATACATTTTACAGGTTAAAGGCCAAACTCCACAGTTTGTTTTGCTGAAGCCTTTTGTCTCGCATATTAATTTTGCATTCGTCTTTTTTTGTGTCTTGAAAATTTGTTCCTTATTAATGCTGTGTCGTTGACCGCCTCTGTGTCTCTTGGTTATTTTTCACATATATGTTCTGTCTCTCTGCTGTCTGATAAGATGTTTTATCTCCGTTCTTAGTTTATTATAGCGACCTCTATCTTCGTGTCGTATGTGTTTGTAATATAATTTGCGATGTTTCTTTTTAATTGTTAATTTAGTAAGTTATTTTGGTGGGCAACTGGTTTTATTTATGTGAGCTTTGTTGTGGGCTCCGGCTCTTTTTATATTTTCACTGACCGCTATGGCCATCCCTATCTCAGTTAACTAATACATATATTATATTCACATTAAATCTGTGTAATTAATGAAATTTATTAATAACCAATACTTTTTTTTACCCACCCTACAAACCATGACGACTTCAACATAAACGTCAACATTCTAAAATGCCTCTAATAACGTTAGTTTGCAATGATTTAGCTTTTCAGGTATCCTCTTAACACATTTAGGATATAATTATATTTTAAGATTCTTTGGAAATAAAAAAAATGGCATTTTAGTTTTGACGGCACAGCATGTCGAGTTTTTTGGGTGACATTCACAATATCGAAATTCATTATATCGAATTCAAAATATCGAACACTTTTTATCGAAAATCAAAATATCGAAAATACAAAATGTCGAAAATCAAAATATCGAAAATCAAAATATCGAAAATTCAAAATGTCGAAATGAAAATATCGAAATTTTATTTAATCGAATTTTCAATTTATCGAAAATAAAATCTCGACCGCTGTCATACAGGTTATGACGAATAGCTGTCATCTTGGTTATGCAGGTACACTGCATTGTGCCATACCAAACCAACCCAAACTTAACAACCCAACCCAACCGACCCCGCCCCATTGGGCCCCTCCCGCCCCATTGAGCAATAGAGGTATAATATATCTAAGGGCAGGCTGGATTGTGACAATGGGGCGGGAGGGGCCCAATGGGGCGGGGTCGGTTGGGTTGGGTTGTTAAGTTTGGGTTAGTTTGGTATGGCACAATGCAGTGTACCTGCATAACCAAAATGACAGCTATTCGTCATAACCTTGAGGAATACTTTGCTACATTTAGCCAAAGATAATATTATCTTTGCATTTAGCCTCTAGTTGAAAATGAGGTTAAAATATGCGACGGTTGAGCACACACATTTCTACGTCCGTCCGACGGTCGAGCACACACTTTTCTACGTCCGTCCGACGGTCGGGGAGACACTACCTTTAATTATTCGACATTTTCAAATCGACATTTTAATTTTCGATATTATCATTTTCGACATTTTGAATTTTCGATATTTTGATCTTCGACATTTTGTATTTTCGATATTTTGATTTTCGATAAAAAGTGTTCGATATTTTGAATTCGATATAATGAATTTCGATATTGTGAATGTCACCCGAGTTTTTTTACGACGTAGACTTTTTCGTCAACATGAACGTCGACATCCTCGAATGCCTTTAATAACATTAATTCGCAATGATTTAACTTTGTCTGATATCCTCTACTCATATTACAAATGTATCATACTCTGTTATAGTTTTTTAAATAGAAAAACGACATTTTTGTTTTGTCAGCACAGCATGTCAAACTGATATTTTTAACTTAAAATTCAAGTTCTTGTAAGGACAGTGTCCTTGGAACACTTGTTATATTGTTTTTTTTTAATTATTTACATTAGACACAACTTGTCCATGATTCGGTAACAGGCCCAGTCGAGCCATTAAGAGTTGTTCAGAAACCCTTCGTAGCTCTTGTTGCTGCTGACCAATGATTACTTGCAATTCAGCATGTTTTCTTTGTAAATCTGCTTGTAGTTGATTTTGGTTTGGTCCAGGGTTCATTATTAAACTGTCCACGGCCTAAAATATTTTGGATTAAATATATAAATAGTACTATTAGCAACTGCTTACTACCGGTAGTGGTGATAAAACTGCAGGAGATGAAAAACTGGCAATAATAGGTTGCACTGGAATTGCAGCAACGTATTGTGGAGGTTCCAAGAACTGTGTTGGTTGTATCTGTTGCTGAGGTTGCGTTGAAGAGTTTGCTTGACAAAGTTGCTGTTGAATTTGGTTACTAGATTGCGATTGAACCTTGGAAGGGCTATTTGACTGAGATACTGGAGGACTGGTCCTTGATTTCTACAAAAAATTGAAACATTTACTACATCAAAATATAAGTTTTTAGTTTAGTCTCAGGTTACCACAGAAAGTTGCGTCATAACAGATTGTCTTGATCCAGGTGAATAAGCAGACATGTTTGTACAGTCTGAAGGGGGACCATGTCTAATGTTACTTTTTCCGCTTTTACATGGCCATTGTACAGATCCACTTAAGGATAGGGGAGAGTCTACAGCAGTTATTAACCCTTCGTCTTTTCGACATTGCTTCATTACATCTGTATAGCTAAAAGTATAAAAATAAAATTAAAGTAAACATATAGTAATTATTAATTACTGTATGTTTACTTTAATTACTAAATATATGTGGATATAATTACAAATTTTAATAATTCATGTCCTTTCATCCCTGTTGTAAATGACCGATTAATTCCTTATAGAAACCAATTGAAGTATTGGTTGGTATCAATAGGTCTGAATTGGACTTACAGGATTTAATTGGGAGCGATATAAAACAGAAATTGGTTTTTACTGGTATTTTCCATGATGGAAAAGTCCGATTAGGATTCTACTTTTTTTTAGTGGTTTCGATTGGTTAAAGCTACCAATAGGTAATTTCCAATTGAATGTAATTGGGCATTCCCAGTGTAAGATTCTAGAAAGGAATCTGCTAATTGGTTATTCCCAATACTTTAAAATATGTAAAACTCCAATTAGGATTCTACTGTTATTTAGTGGTTTCGATTGGTTAAAGCTACCCATAGGTAATTTCCAATTGAATTCAATTGGGCATTCTCAGTGTGAGATTCTAAAAAGGAATCTGCTAATTGATTATTCCCAATACTTTAAAATATCGAAAGAGGGCTCTCGTGTAGCTGCGCAACTTTCTTCTTCTTTCTTTCTAATTTCGGTATTTTCAACCTTGGTGCTTGGAATCTAGTCCATGTGACCATATGCTTGTTTTAACGTCTCAAGGCTTCAGAAAGAACTACCTCCGCCGTTTGACAATGTGGAAATTTCAATCTTGAAACATCCATTCAATCATTTATACAATTCACAAAATACCTCACTAAAAGATCAAAGCTTGCGATATTGTTAAAAAATACAGGTATATTTCTACACCGGGAATCCAATTTTGTACCCCCCGGTTCGCAAAGTCAGCCATGTTTCACACTTTTCATCGAGCGATGCGTAGCCCACGGCGTACAAAACCGAACTGCGCAAAACCAACGTATGCAGTCCTTGTTCGAATGGTTGAGACGCCATCATAAAGAAACAAACAAGTCTTTGGACGCTATTTAATGTCGTTTTTTTATTAGTCGGTTTCTTTTATAATCTATGGGTTTCTGTGCTTAGTGGTAGTTGTGTACTTATAGTGGTGTGTACTTTTACCTTAAACAAATTTTATATGTGTAAGGTTTAGGGACGATGGCGTGAGAATGGTGGTTACAGCGGATAAAATAAAAAAAATTTGACATAAATAATATTGATTTCGACCATGCCTACAAACATCCTTTACAAAAAAATGATAAATGATTATAACCGAGTAATTTTATTTATTTTTTATTACTTTTTTGTATTGTATCAATACATATCTCACTAACATAAAAAAAATAATAATAAAGAAATAAAGTTACTCAGTTATAATTCTTCTGGGATCTTAATTATTTTTGAATGAAAAATCAACTGGTATTTTTAATCCAAATTTTAAAAAATAAATTGATTCAAATTGGTTTAAATTCATTCCAGGTGCATTTCTATTGAATTTAGCCAATAGAGAGAGACAAGTATAGGCATGGATTGGTATATTCCAGTTTAAGCCGCTGACTTCATTGGAACTTACCAATAGGAATGCAACTGGAATGAGTTGGTGATTCATAGCGCCAAAACACATTTCAAACCAATTACTTACTTTTTATTGGATTCTATCGGTCATATACAATTATATGATTATTGTTTGTGTTTAGATTTGTAGTAAATTAGGTTACTTATATAATTTACACACAACAGAAATTAAGCACATGCCTACATATTGAAAACTAAGAAGCAATGAAAATTTAACGAAATGCAGTAATAAACTAAATATGCATCTTTTAAAAAAGCTCTCACACATTTTTCTCTTATTTTGCGAGTTATGGACGATTTTTTTAAAATTTGCGGAAGGGGACTGTTTTATCATCCAGGGGAGTGTTTATTGAAAAAAAAACAGTTTTTTTATCGAATGTAACTTTGTTTTTATTTGTTATAACTTTAACATAGCGTATTACATACGATTAAATTTAGAATTTTCAAACAAATGCTAAATCAAACATATTGGGAATAATTTTTAATTATACAAATTGTTTATCATTGTTAATCATCTATAAAATTAATAATTAATACCGAAACAAAATGATCTAATACTATTCAATCTCACAATCAACATTTTGACATTTTACTATTACTTTAAAATATTTTTAATTCTAAAAAAATATAAGTTTTATAATTATCATTGGCATTATAGTTTACAACGAAACCAGTCTTACCATTGCTTTTGGAAAATTACTAATCTTAACTTATTTCTCAAAGACAAGTACAGGTACCTTAAAAAAATAAAATATTCTGTTCCCTTTTAGGATTAGATCTGGGTTTGGTAATTTTTCCAATATTTGTTCGAAAGTTACGTCTGAAATATTATTTTTATGAACCTTAAACGTGTGACCCTTATTGTTACAAATCTTCATAAAAGTTACATTTAGCTCACCTTCCTCATTGTCTATCTGATTTATTACAGCAGCATAGCGATATTCCGTGGTTTTGACGGGAAACTTAACTAAAACGTAATCACCGATTTTATTTTGGTTAAACTATAGTTTAACCACACAGAACACGCTATCCAATGGATATCCAATGGCTATCCCAATGTCCATATAACATCCATGCCTTTTACGATATCCATTGGATATCCAATGGATATCCATACTGGATGTTCAAAAAAAAACAAAAACATTAAAAATATTTTTTTCTTTTTTAAAATAGCCCCTTATAGGATAAATTTATGTAATGATTAATCAATATGATTTAAATCGTTATTAAACCAATTTCAACAAAGTATCTCTAATATATATCCAATGGATAACTAATGTATGTCTAAAGTACACCTAAAGTACATCTAATGTATATCCACTGGATATCCACTGGATATCCAGTGGATAACTGATTTGGATATCTTGTATATATACTTTTATGTGTACATGTGGGATTTTGTGATGGTTTAATTGAAAACTGGCATATGCCAAAAAAACAACTTTACGGTAAATTGATTTTTTGCCAAGAGCTACGAAATTTTTAATTTTGAAATGTTTACCTAGATATTATTTCTGTTAATAATATGATTATGACAGTCTGCAATACAATAAAAAATTACTTAAAAAAGTCCCTTTTGTTTATTATTGTATTTCATAGTAGTACGCACGCGCTAAATTTGAGAATCTTCAGTGTTGCCGGTTATAAGCAAAATAACTAAACGAAATATATTTCCGTACTTTATTAAGTTTTAATAAATAAATTAAATAAATTTAAAATAATTACTCACCACATTTATGTTAAATAGGTATACTAGGTATACTAATTAATTAAGTATTAAAGATTTAATAATATAACCGCGATTTTGATGAGCTTTCTGAAATTATTTAAACGTCTGACAACACTGCCGCCGAACACAGAAGATAAAGAAGCGTCCTTTTTCTATGGTAGCGTCCGTTAAATATGATGCCATGATTGTTAGGTACTTACATGCAAAGGGTTTTCATGTTTATTTGCTTCATTCCACAGATTGTAAAGGTTCATTCGCCATCATTGCTATTTGTTATATGTTTGTCATAAAGTTTATTGCCAATAACTTTATTGTGTTTTGTGGTTATTTGTTTGAGGTCTCTGGTGGTAAGTGAATATTTTATTAATTTTCTAATCATAGTTATCATTTTAAATTGTATTAGTCTAAAACTAATACAATTTTAAATTAAATAGGTATATTTAAGTGCAATTTATAAACTTTTGGTTAGCATTGAAGGTAAAACATTAAAGGTGAATACATGCATGCATTTATATACCGTACCTTTATTTTCAAGCTATACATAGGCTCGAGGGTAACAAATGGGCTGATGGATTGGCCAAATTTTGGGGATCATAAGGAGACAGGTAAAATAGGCCCTAAATGATTAGGCTGATAAAAAGGCAAATGACTGCTGGAGGAGTAATGGCAAGCCAGAGACTTCACTTCTTTAGTTATATGTAGTTTTCTGTTTTATGTTTTCATAAAAATAAATATTTAAATTAAAGAATAAGATTTTTATTTTAAAACCCAATGTTATTTATTGAAAAGTAAATATCCATTGATTCACCATATCCAATACAGATGACAACCATATTGCATTAAATACCCTATCCATTGGATATCCATATACAATCTCCATATTGAATACAGATTACAACCTTATTGCATACAATACTATATCCACTGGATATCCATTGGATATCCACACTATGTCCAGGAGGGTCGGACATTTATATATCCAATGGTTATCCATTGGATATCCCGGATATCCATAAAATAAATCCATTGGATATCCATTGGATGTAATTGTTCCGTGTGGGTAGGTCCAGCAACATTCTCAAATTCAGTATTAGACTTATCATAAGGAATAGCATGTAAAATATATATTTTATATATATATATATATATATTATGCACGATGACATTATAATATGACAATTATAACAAAAATTCTTTGACGTAAACGTCTTTTGATAGCCCGCGGGCGTTATTATGGCCCAGCAGGCTATAATGAAACGTCAAAAATTAAAAACAACAATGTTACACCATTTGATATATTCGAAGTAAGTTTTTTCGTATAAAGATTTTGATTTTTTCGGCAGCAGGCCGCAATTTATCGCCTTTTCAGCTGCTTCCTCAATTTCATTCATCTTTAAACTTTAAAACTGACTGATGTCAGTTGAGATTATAATGTGACAATTATAACAAAAATTCTTTGACGTAAACGTCTTTAAAAACAATAATATATTAAAAATAATAATATATTAATCGTGCATAAAGTTTTGTATGCATGCGACGCTTTTCTAGCCCACGCGCTAACGCGCTCGGGCTCGAAATAGCGCCTCGGACCATAAAAACCTTATTATGCCCTTAATACATAAATAACTATTATATTATACTAATCAGTATCTATTATAGAGCCACTAAAAGTATTATCTGGTGAGTTGCGGTCTGTTCTGGATTCGTCTTCA